TGTACAGTTGACCCTGTGTGTCTGTAGGTTCTGCATCCATAGATTCAACAAACCATGAATTGAAAGCATTCTTTAAAAAAAAAACAAAAAAAACTGTTTTTATATTGAGCATTTACAGAATTTTTTTCTTGTGGCTATTTCTTAAACAATACAATCTAACAACTATTAACATAGTAATTACATTGTATTAGGTATTATAAGTAATCAAGTGTGATTTAAAATATACCAGAAGATATACAGAGGTTATCTGCCAATACTATACATTTTATGTGATGGATTTGAGCATCTGTGGAAATTCATATATATTATTAGACCCAGGTAAGGAAGGGGTGGTAGCTTGGGCTTTGTCTTTGTGCCCACTTGTCCTGGGGTGGTTGTAGCTCTGTGTGTGTGCATAATGAACACACTCACCCTCTTGAAATGCAGAGGCATAGCCTTCAGAATACTCTCAAAGGGGTCACAGTCCTCCCCACGTACAAGACCTGCCACTGAGAACTAGGGGTATATTTGGCAGAGTCTGAATCAGGCAAACTAAATCTTTGCCCCTTCATGAACTCACTTGGGTCATGGGGTAAAGTTTTCCTATTTGACACAGGATGTTTTGCTTCTCTCACGAGTTGACTTAATAACATCAGGCCACTGACAAAAGGCAGTGCCTGCAAGGCAAGTACGTGAGGAGACCAGGCTGGAGGATGGGGCCAGGACAGCAGCGGGGGAGGTCACGCTAATCTCTGCCACCAGCAGGAAAGCCGCAGGCTCTCAGAGATGGAGACTTGTGCCATCTCTTGCCCCTCCCTCCCCTGTTCAAATGTGATTATGTCTCCCAGAGCAGACGGAAATCAGGTTAGTGTCACTGAGCAATGCTGAGCTGAGGTAATAAGAGCCCGCAGCAGAGCAGGTGCTAGCTGTAATGTGGCTTCGGAGAATTAGGACAAGCTGACTTGTAGCTCAGTGCCACGTGGACATTGGAGGAGTCATTACCAACACTGTCCACGTGGCCCCCTGCTGCTTCTGCAGCCTGGATCCCTAACACCTGCCCACTGTCCTCCCTCTCTACATGTCTCTCCCAGCTACAACATGCTGGGGCTTGTTGGAAGTACATCTGGCGCTGCCCCAAACACTGAGTTCTTTAACTGGCAGCTCAGGGACAATGCTCCAGGGATCCTGTCTTTAGGTGTGACAGGACAACAAGGTTAACTAAACCTGATGTCACTTTTGGTCTGTTCCTGCTTATGTGTTTTCTTGGACAATTACCTACCTCTGGGACTCTACATAAATTGACTATAAAGTAGGAATTTTGATCCTATCTAATTCATGAAGGCTGCTGGGGTGATTAAATATAATTTAGGAAAAAACTCCTGACACCCCCCAGCCTGCCATCAAGGAAGCACTCAAAAAATGTCACCCATTTCTAGTCTCAACTGAGGCTGAGCTCAACAACAGGGAAGTGGTTTAAAATATAAGGTGTATTCATAAAATAGATCATGTTTTCTTAAAAATTAGCTCATGATATGGCTAAATCATCACAATGAAATAAATAATGCAAGATGCCAAATCATATCTTAAATATTTTTAATCTGCTGAAAGAAAAACTGTAAAATTACATAACATGTTGTATTTTGTATATTACTTGTGTGACCTTGGGCCTATCACTTATCTTTTGAACTTCAGTCTCCACTGCTCTCAAGGGACAATCATAATACTTACCATGCCTTTCCTAAAGACTCAAATGAGATATATTCTTCGAAAGCACGAGACCAGTGCAAAGTATCGCCCACATCCCGTGTGGGCAATGGAATCGAGATCACTCTGCTTGGTTCCCGCTGGCTTTGAAAAGACCACAGGGACATGGAAGTAGTTTTTTTCACAAAGAGGGCTTTGCAGATGGCTCTGCAACCTCAAGGATCCTCTTCCATTCTGGAAGGCAAGAGAGTAAGTGCACCTGGAACCCCTTTATTTATAGGGAAAAGACATTTGATAGAATATTCTACCCAAAATAAGGCAGGGGATAAGTTTTCAAAGGAGTTGCCCAATCTTGTTGGGTAACGCTGAAGTCCAGAGCTGAAGCACTTCTTTGTTGAGTAAAGGTAAAAGCCACTTGCTTCCCGCATAGCGCTTGGCATGAGATCCCAGTCTGATACCCCCTTTACTCAAGATTGAGAGGGGATGCTTAGCTCAGGGCACCCCCCCGCCCCAGTCACCCACAGCAAAGGATGAGGCATAATTTTATGGTTTCTTCAAAAAATGTTTCATGCTTATTACAAATAAATCAATAATTACATAAGAGTGTAAGAAAAAAGGTGTGTGTTAACCAGAATCTCATCTCAGGGGATGAGCAGTCATAATAATTGGTGAACATCATTCTAGAGACTCTTCTATGCATACAGTAATAGATAAAAATAATTTTAACAAGGGAATATTTAATATGTATGCAATTTTAATAGCAGAAGTTATTGCATTTAGTCCAATTAGCATTTAGCAGAGAATCATTAGCTGAAACTGAGAGAATTGCTACACTACAGTTAGATCATTTCCAAAAGACTGGTAAAATGGAGAAAACACAATAACAAGTAATATTAATGTCTTGAGTCATTGTGTGGTTTTATCAAGTACATAATTTTCACTTTTAATGACACAGACAAAGCATTCTAACAGTATCATCTCTACCAACTGAGCTAACCAGGTGCCTTAAAGCATTTTAACATTCAATTAAATATCAGGATGAAATTGCAAATATCAGAGAAAAATAACACACTCAGTTGATCCCCACTAAATGCCCCAACTTGTCTAAGAGGAACAAGTGTGGAGAATGTTGGATGCTTGCAATGAGACAGGTGCACATAGAAAGATGAACAAAGAGGTTTGAGGTTGCCAGGAAAAGTGGAGCTATGGGACTCTAAGTCCATGGGCACCTTTTTCAAGGGTGGATCCCACGTGTGCTGTTTGCTGGGAAGACTGGAGCCCAGCAAGGTGCCTGCCAATATAACACAGAGCTGAGTCACCAACCCAGATCTTTTTGTTCCAAATACATGGCTTAATTTTGAATTAATCTTGCTTTTTTAATTTTCTGTGTTTCTGATGCTTTAACATCTTTGGGACTTACTGAGGAGGGACTGCCTCTCCTGGGCTAGCCAGTTCCCATTGATATTCAAGATTTGCTAGACCTTTCATATGCAGACTGAGCTATCCAGCGCTCTGGACTTGCTTCCCTCCACCCCCACTGCATTTATGAAGCTCTGACTCTGGGCCATTGTCTACCTACCCTAATCGCTTCAAACTAGGTACCACAGAACAGGTGCCATTCCCTGTGCCCCAGAGCCCAGTGACATTGTTCAAAGCAGCCAATGCTAAACCTGCCTCATCTGTAATTCTCCACAAAAACCACAATAAAGGCTTTTGCTAACACTTTCTCCTCACTCTTCCATCTCCTGACCAATCCTGATGTGTCCCTTTGTGGCCACCCCATGGCATGGCATGGTCCCTCTCTTGGGTACCATGAAAGACAAGCTAACTTCACTGGCAGTCATCTCCTGATCTACTGGGCTCACTGAACTTGAATAATGATAAAACCCACATTTTGCAATAGCCCGCCTCTTCTGGGCCTGTGGGTAGCCTCTTGTGGAGTTGACTCTGCTTGGGCACAGCTCAATGATAAGGGAACTGTGCCCAAACAGCACCTGAACATCCTAGGAATGACTGGGCAGCAGGGGAACTCTGATGCCCAGACATTATTTTGCCCAGACAGGACCAGTTGGATGAGCTATCCAAAGGCAGATGCCATGCTACCTTGGCAAGAACATATTGATTCTCACTGAGATGAATTTGTCTCTCAGATCAATCAAAGGTAGTCATAGGTGAGATGGAACCAGGAAGACCTATGCCTGGGGTTCTTACATGTGAATTCCTGACCTCCCCAACTTTATCCTTATGGCCCATGGTGTTGCTGAGACCATAGTGAGGGCTTGATAAAGGCTGCATACATTGTGTTAAGTTTTACACTATTGTCATATATAAGGAATAACTTCATTGTCCAGACAGTATAGGACATCCAAAAATCAATTAGACTCTTTGCTTTTGGAAATGTTATTTTTTTTTTCATTTGGAGAAAATTTCAACTCAGCAAATATATTTAAGCATCTATTCTGTGGTATGCATAGAGCAAATTTCCAGCATTACAAAGAAATAAGACACAGACGGTGGTTTCAGGAGCATCATGGGTCTAGAGAGACAGTGAGGCACAGGAGAACAGCATAGGTAGTGCTGGTGTAGTCACAGCAGCTCAAGGTGGTCAGGGGACAGGACAGAGCCAGTGAATGCTGGACCACATTTCCTAGTTATGATCTATATGATCTACAGCACTCAGTGCTTTTTCAGAACACTGCTTTTATAATTATTTTCAACATCAGCGTGCTTCCTCATGAATCTTCTGACAATCGAAGTTAATCTTTTGGGAACAGTATCAGGCTAGGAAGTGGGGCAGATAAAAGCTAGTGTCAGATACTCTTGGTCAATGCTCTGATGTGGTTGTTAGCTGATCCCAAAGGCTCTTCTAAAAGAATCATTTCACTGATGCCTTGGGCAATTCCAGCCTTGCTGGAACAAGGATTATTTCTGATGTGTAGTTCTCTGCTCTGCCCACACACTCCTGCCTAACCTCAACTGAGGAAAAAAACTTTCATCATAGTAGAAACTATGTTCTTATATTAAATAGATATGTTTAAAAAATAGAATATAGGATTATCTATCCATATCCTAAGGCATCATACATGGGAAATCTTTTCCAAGTTCCCTATTAGCTAATCTTACTTCTCAGGTTTCTGTCTGCAAGTTTGTTTCTCTTAACCTGCAAAGATACTTTCATTAAGCATGCATTTTTGGATTTCCATTCACTGAGTACCAAGTTAAGAAATTGGGCTAGTCCCTGGCAATGGTTGTACATATGGAAGTTACAGCAATGACTAACACAAGAGAGTTTCAAAGGTTGTCTCTCTACTTTCCAGGTGGTTGCTACACTGGGGACCACGTCTTGCTGCTCTTTTGACAATCTCTTAGAAGTGGGCCCTATCTGTAAGTATCTAATTCCATATTCTTTTTGAAAACTGTCCTTAGCCAACCTTTCTTTTTGGATTTTATTCCGTATCATTCATTTCATATTGTGATGACTTTTCCAACTCTTCTTGCATTTCCAATACTACAACCTCATTGACTAGAATTCTAAAAACTCAGAATTTGGTATAGTTGGACAAGAGCTGAGCTTAAGTACACCAACATACTATCTGTACGGGGAAAAAAAATGCTCCAAGCAATATCATAATGTTACAAAATTGCAGGCTATGCTGGCCCTGTTGAGGAGAATAAATTCTTCAACATCTTAAAGCTAACTACCATCATATGAGGGGTCATTATATATACGTGACATCTATATTGCTCACGCTTAGATTGAGTTTTGTGGCATATTTTTTAGCACTACCCTCCATCCCCCCCCGCCCCCCCCACCCCGCGCACCATTTTAACATTACAATCATGCACTATATAACATTTCTATTGAGGACAGACCACATATAGGATGGTATATGCCACATGGCCTCGGTGTGCAGCAGCCTGGACCATCTAGATTTGTGTAAGAACTCCATGATGTTCTCACAGTGACAAAATCGCATAATGACCAACTTATTTCTCAGGGCCTAGCCCATCATTCAACAACACATGGCTGTGCTGAATGTACTTAAGCAGATTGCTTAAAGTAATTTAGCAAATCAATAGGTTGAAACTAGATTTCTCCAAAGAATACTCTATGATTCACAAGATGTGCTGACTCACGCCTACCTCTTCCTCCCTTCGAGCACTTTGGTTTTCTCATGGAAACTATGATTCTGCTTCCCAAGGTACAACATGAATAAGTGGCTGTGTTTGTAAAGTTTCAACTTCAATGGGAGACTCTGGAAACTCCACAGGCCTTGGAGCTCTTTCTAAGGATGGGAAAACTCTCCTTGGGCACCAAGGAGACACTGGTCCATGAAACTCTCCCTTTCTTTGTCCCTCAGATATAAACATTCCAAGTAGAGCTGCCTCAAAGTCAGGCTCTCAGGCTGAGCATGGTGTCGTATATCTATAAACCTGGGGCTCAGGAGGCTGAAGCAGAAGGACTGCAAATTCAAACTCAGCCTCATCAACTTAATATGCCCCTAAGTAACCCAGTGAGACTCTGTCTCAAAATAAGAAAATAAAAAGGGCTGGGGGACGTGGCTCAGTGATTATTGAACCTCTGGGTTCAATCCCTGGTACCAAAATTAAATAAATAAATAAATAAATAAATAAAAGAACAAAAAATGTCAGACTCTCAGACTATCATGCCTATGGCTTGTGCCAAGCAACATGCCACTTGCTTGGCACTAGGCCCAATTCTCAGTCTGCATACATCAAGTATGTTTCTCATATCTCCTAACCCAGGTTGCACCTGTGGTCTGTTCTCAGGAGTGGATCCTCCTCTCCAGGGCTACTGTCCTCTAGTTAGTGTCTGGGGAAAGTGGGTGCTTTAGGTACTCTGCAGTGATAGTGGGAGACCATGGCCCTGGCCACAGAGAAGCTGTAGTCCATCCAGCCCAGGCCTGCCTCTTTCATTTTCCAAATTTCAAAATTGGAGGGAAAATCATCAGTTGTCATTGAAAAAAAAATATTTCCTTCACAGGATTGTTCCGAGGACGAGATAATGCAGGGGGACAACGTGTTAAAGGTGGACAGTATTGCTTGTGCTATAGGGAATGCAATGCTAGTTACGTAGTCTGGGAAGTGGGGTGGGTACATACTTTCCTGTTCACCCAGGATTTTGCTCCACCCGTTATGAGCTATAGCTGAAGGCAGCCAAACACAATCAGGTGGAGAAGAAGAGACAGAACTAACTGGCCCGCACAGGGTTTCGGTGTAGCATTGGCCTCCTTAACTGCAAACCTTCACTGGCTCAGCCAAGCAACTCGAAGTCCTCTGACTCAGATGTCAGGCTAAGAACTGAATGTCCTGGCCAAAAGCTGGCTGATGTAATTCCCTAGGGCTATCAAATTTAAAGGGCCCAGGTCTTCTGTGGCTGCTGACCCCTGAGCAGAGTACTGTCCACCAGTGGAAGCAGGTGATGATAACCAGCAGGTGACATCTGCCATTTGTGATGACCCAGTGATTGCATCTCCACAGTCCTGCTGTCCTGGAGCTCCCTCTGCTTTGCAGGGTCTGGAGGCTGTGGGTAGAGCTTGGCTTTTGTTTGTGTTTGGTTGAAGCCAAGAGGTTGCTTCTGGGTTATGCTTGGGGAGCTGACACAGGTGAAGGCAAAACCCTTTCATCCATTGCCATAGTTTTGTACTTGAAGATGAAATTACTAACTTTGGGTTGGTATTACCTTAGCAATTCAGACAGTACCTGTTTAACCTAATTTTCCTCATCTCATACCTCTTATTTGACTGTCCTCAAAGAGTTAGCATTCTTCAAACCCAAGCTGCCTTTTCTGAGATCCTGAGCTGACCTCACCTTAGAGTATGATTAAAATAATCTATTAAAACAATTCAAGGAAGTTTTTCAACCACCATCATTTGACAAAGAAACAAAGCAGAAGATGATTGTCCTCAAATTTCTGTCTTAGGAAAGACAGTTTCTTTTTAGTCACTTTGAAAATGATTTCCCCAAAAAAGTGGTTGCTACTAGTTCACTTGGATGAGGTAGTGGCCCAGGAAGGTTCTAGTGAAAAAAAAAAAATGATAAGATACAACAAGAAGATAGTTGATGACTGTTAGAAGCCAGGTGTGCAAGTGTGGAAATTAAGGCTGGGGCATGGCTGAACAGGTGAGGTGGTCTCATGGAAGGAGGAAGGGGAACAGTGTAGGGAAGGCAGACAAAACTCTGTCCTGAAGGTCAGGATGGCCGGGAGGAGAGCATGAAGCCGGAGGGGCAACCTGGCCTTGTAAGAAAACAGGTGCCAGTAGCAGGAGGCTGTGGAGGTAGCTCCTGTCCTCTGCACCCAGGTGACCTTGCTCAAGGGCTAGTTGTATCACCGACCCATGCAACTCGCCTAGCTCTGGCTGTGGATCTTTTGTGTCCACCCAGCTCCTAGATGTGCACACATATGTGGGAAGGAAATGTGTGTGTCAACCAATCACGTACAAGGTGCACATGACAGAAGTGGCATCAACCAGGCTTTTCTTCCCCAGGCACAAGAGAAGCCCACATGGAAAAAAACTTACAAGGACTGTCTAGGAGTTCCCTTCTGTTGGAATTTTGGGCCAATACAAGTTTAAAGGGTGGTCCCTAAGACCACCTTGCTCTGACTCCCCTCACCTATTCCGAGTTCAAAGCTTCCCCACCAATTCCTTCAGGTTTGATCATCTGCTAAAAGACTAACAGTATTCAGTAAAAGCTATGCTCCTGATTATGGTTTATGGCAGGGATTAAAATCAGCCAAGGAGGAGACACACGGGTCGGAGACCAGGAGTGTGGGAACATGGAGCTTCTGGTGATCCTCTTCCATGGAGTCATGAGGGCATGGACTCTCTCGGTCACAATGTCTAACCATGTGCCTAGAGAAGGGAGATTTTTCTAGCATGCAAATTCACCAGACTCTTTTCTGTTGGATTTACTTTTATTCTTTTTAAATATATTTTGTGGTGCTAGAGATTGAACCCCCGGCCTCATTCATGCCGGGCAAGAGTTCTACCACTGAGCCATGTCCCTAGGTCTCTTGTCAGTTCTCATAGGGCCTTGATCATACTCTGCCTGTTTGGCTGACCTTTGGTCTCCAGTTCCTCTTGGAAGCCCAGCTAATACCTTTAGTAATCAATTTCTCAAAAGATCAGAATTGATATGGCATAGTCCAATGCCCCCATCATAAATCATATTGAGATTATCTGAGGCCAAAGGCCCAGGCAAAAAAAGGAACTCGTATTAAGCAGGACATTCTTGTATTAAACAGTGGCCCATCTCCCAGGAGCCAAGGGCAAAGGCTAGATGTTTGGGTGGTAAGTTACATCTTTGTTGCATATCTTTTATCTGGTGCCCCTTTTCCCTTCTCTCACCAGTTCCCTTGGTCTTTTCTTACCCATCACCCCCTCCCCAGATGTCTGATTCATTCTGGAGTGGCTTGGGTGCCGACATCCTTCTTGATCCCATCCTGAGGTTCAGGACCTCATTTCCCCTCTGGACATTCTGGAGGAGGTGCTGTGAACTGAGGGGTTGTGGGACTGAGTACCTTCCTTTCTCTTCACTATTTTTCTGTGTTACCCACCTATGCCTATGGATGGTGGCTATGGGAGGAAGAACAAGGAGTGAGAAGGAAAGAGAAGTTTCTTGACTCCATCTGGATCCTGCCCCTTTCTCCTCCCATCCTGTGTCTGGTGTGTTCATCCATCTTCCTGTTCAGTCTCAGAGTCTTGCTCTGCCTCCTGCCTTCATCCAACCATCCTGAACTGAACACAAACATTGACATCTATCGAATTCTACCAGAGGGCCTCAAAGAGTAAAGGAAATTCCATCACTAAAAGTCTGTGTGTGGCCCAAGCAGCTCCCTTGGGAAGACCAAAATTGCCTGTAGTCCATCTGGACTGCTTAACAAAATACCTTAGACCAGGTGGCTTATAAACAACAGAAACTTGTTACTCATATTCCTGATGGCTAAAATTACAAGATCAATGCTCTGGCAGATTCAGTGTCTGGTGAGAACCCATTTCCTGGTTCACAAATGGTGCCATCTGTGTATCTTTACATGATGGCAGGCATGGGGCTCTCTGGGGTCTCTTTAATGAGAATGCTAATCCCATATTTAGAGGTTCACTCTGATGAGCTAACTACCTCCCAAGGGCCCTACTCCTAACACCATCTCCTCTGGGGTTAGGATTTCAACATAGAGTTTGGGAGGAACACAAGCATTCAGACCATAGCATGCTTTGAAATTCTGTGTCCTCTCTTATAAAAAAGCAATGTGAAGCAATGTGAAGTTTCTATTGACCCCACACACATCTGAGCTGTAGCTGTCCTGGTCATCCTGACATCATCTCCTGAGTGACTCTTCAGGAAGATGCCCCATATTATGCTAGGGCTTTGTCTCCTGCCTCATGCACATGGGGTCATGTGACCACCAGTTGGGTCTGATTGTTGGAGAGGTGATGAACCCAGACATCTTGGCCAATAAGCTTTCCTTCAGGCCATTCAGGTCACCCTCTGCTCCACGGTCTTTGGCTATGGTGCCCTGACTGACGTGTGCCCTTACAACACACTTGATCTTGATCCAACTGAGAGTTTTAATCCTGGAGATCAAACCGAGTCAAAGATTTAAAATGTCTTTTGTATCTTTTATCAGCAGAGTTCAGAGTGACTTATCTCTCCTCAAAGTACACTGGTTCATGAGCATTACATATGCTCATTTGAAGGGTGGCTCTGCTGATCAGCAAAAGTCCGGGTGCTGACTCTGACACCTGGCACCCTCATCTGTACAGGGCACAGCTTCCTCCCACCCGTTCCGTCATTCTCACCTATCATGTGATTAACTGGTGCCTGGGATGAAGGAAAGACTAGTCATGGAAAACGCATTTATTTCTCACCAACCTTGTGCTGATAGGCATGCTGTGAAGATTACCTAATTTATTGCTCAGAGTTATAGGTACAACTTGGATGTCCATTTTGCCTTTGAGGAGAATGGACCTTGGAGGAAGCAGACAGGATCATAAAGCTCCTGAGCAATTGGAGCAGGAGCTGAACCCAGATATGTCCAAATTTGGGGAGCATCCCTGTGCATGAGGCTCTCTCACTCCCCACAAAAGCATGGCCCCTGCTTCCAGGCTCTTCTGGTATGATTGGAAAACAGAAATCCACTTCATGATTAAAGAGAGTGTAAGATGACTAACTTCATGGTGGTGATGGAGTGGGGCAGAGCACAATGTGGATTGTGTGCCAGACCTTTCCTTAGAGGATGTTGTGAGAACTTGAGAATGGGTTGGCAAAGAGGATAGGGGAGGAAATTCTGGGTGGATGAGATGAGGGAGGACTATAAAGGGTGGTGTCCCTTGAAGACAGTGAAAGGGTGAGCAGGGGAGGCAGAGGTGGCGCTTGCTGGCTCCTAAGCACTTTACTGAGCAGTGAGGGTTTGGCAATGGATTCTGTCTCCCCTACTTTCCAGTCACTCACTGAGCAGCTGGCATGTGTCCAGGGCCAACGGCACACACCTCTGCTCTCAGCTTCAGTACTTCTAAGAACAGGGGCCCTTTGGGGATCCATTCATTAATTCCACAAATACTATGGATGAGCTATATATACAAGAAGGATCCTGGCCAGGACGAGGTCATCTATCCGACTACACGTGGACAGGGTGACTGTGTAAAAACTCAACAATTGTTTCTGGCTTCAGGCAAGAAGGAGGACATGTGGCTGCACATTGATTCTGCATACGCAGGCAGTGCCTTCATCTGCCCTGAGTTCCGGCATCTTCTGAACGGAGTGGAGGTGGGTGAGATTTTTGCTGCGTAATAAGGTGAATTTTCTTTTTGTTTGTCTGTTTTACATGGTGTGTGAGGTTCTGGCAATCAAACCCAGAGCCTTACACATGCTGGATAACACTATACGACTGAGCTATGCCTCCCAGACCAAGTTTGTTTGTTTTTTTTAAGCACTTTGTTTATCCTTTATGAAGATCTGACAATCAATTTCTCACTGTTGTGGTTTGTTTCAGCAAGTCATTTTCCAATCAATTCCACTGATTATTGGAAATCCTGCTTCCTCAGGCTAAGGGCTGAGAACTTTCTCCATTCCTACAAGTCATACAGCCTGTCTTTTTGAGGTCCTCCAGATTTTGACAGCTATTTTTCAGTCTACGACATCCTGGGCAGAGTTATGCATAATAGGTTACATTTAACTTACAAAATTATTGGAAAATATTTAGGAACAAAATAAAAATTTAATGCATTTTATTCACAAGATAATTTAAAGTCCCAACCTGGAATCATCTACAATCCGGCTCAGTTTGTTATTCACATTCTACTCCTACATCTGAGAATGATGGTTACTTTAACCAACATAGAACAAGCAGCTACCAAAGCTTTTAAAGTCCCCAGGCACCCTTCTGGAAATTATAAAATGTGGCCCATAAAGCCAAGTAAAATACCTGCTTCATTTGAGAAATAGCAATCAAAATTATTGATAAGTTCTCTGCTTTTCCAGAGAACGATGGAACATGAAGTGGTACAGACTTGCACCTGTGGCTATGCTGATACATTATTTTAGACTCATCCTTGTGACAGCTCACAGGGTACAAAGCCTTCCTCCCCAGAAAGCAATGAAGGGTTCTAAGAAGCTGCTGTTGGAAATGTGTCCAGGGAAGGAGATACTGAATCAGGGGAGTCGTAGTATCGACCAGGAAATAATTGCTTTCTGCTTATGGGTGGAAGGCTTGGTGAGATCTCCCCCTGCATGTGATCAGGATGAATGGTGCAGGTTTTTCCATTAAAATCCCTGGTTTTATTACCAGAATTGCAGGTTCTGCTTCTTGTAGCTCAACCAAAGTTGAGAGGGCAGAGGTTGATGAAGGAAAACAAGTTTATTCAAAACTGGCTCTGGAGAAAATAGAAGAAACCTCTTCTGTTTCGAATCTCCATTTTGTGAGGGCTCAAAGGCATGAACAGCTTTTATAAGAGGAATGGGATACAGTGGACAAGATAGGAAATATGCATATGTAGATTTATGATTCCAGGAGTTAGAGTTAGGATTCCAGCTTTTCTTTTCCTTTTTTTTTTTTTTTTATTTCAGGGATTGAACCCAGGGGTACTCAACCACTGAGCTATATCGCCAGCCCCCACCCTTTAAAAAAATATTTTATTTAGAGGCAGGTTCTTGCTAAGTTGCTTAGGGCCTTGCTAAGTTGCTGAAGCCGGCTTTGAACTCAAAATTCTCCTGCTTCAGCTCCCCAAGCCTCTGGGATTATAAGCATATACCACAGTGCCTCACTGATTCCAGTGTTTCAACCTTTGATGGTACCCACCAAGATTTTGGGGCCAGTTCCTCAGTTTCCATCCTCAGCTTAAGGAATTTCAGCCACAAAAAAAAAAAAATTAATCAGGATACTGGGGAGACTGGAGCTCTGTTACGGTTTTGATCATTTAGAACTAGCTGTGCACCCTTGGGCAAGTTAGGTATTCTCTCTATGTCTCATAAAATGTATTTCATAATGATGCTTCTTTTATGGGGTTGTCATAACGAGTAGATGAGTCAATCATATTTAAAGGGCTTAAGAACAGTCTGGCACACAGGAAGTACTGAGCATGCATTAGATGCTTTTATTATTTTTCACCATTGCTTGGAGAATTTTCCTTAAAACCTCTCTCTGCTTGCATGTCAGGGTCAGGCTTACCAATCAATTTTCTAATTACTGTTTTGAATTCTCATAGTGCTGTAAAATCAGAAAAGTGAATGTCTGAGGTATAGAATACAAAAGCCCCATCTTTGAAGAGAATAATCCCCTTATTACTAATGAATAAAGTGTCATTCTTGTTTATATCTCATCATATTTATTCATTCACCAATTGCTTATCAAGTGCTTCATACATGCTAGGGCTTAGAGGGATCCCTGAGGATAAATGAAGCTTCCAGAAACATATGTAAGTCCTGGAGTAGGGGTTAGCTTGCAAGATGTTCTCATAATGTGATGGGAATACCAGCCCCTCTATAGTTCATTGCTGATAGCTAGTTTTGTGGATGCTTAGTGCTAGAAAATGAAGAATAAATTTCTATATAGATTGAGCACTCCTAATCTAAAAATCCAGACTCCAAGATCTGAAGCTTTTTGATCTCTGACATGACATCACAAATGGAAATTTTCACACTGTGAAAATTTGCTTCACACACAAAACTTTAAAAATATTGTATAAAATTACCTTCAGGCAATGTGTGTAAAGCGTATCTTGAAACATATTTGAATTTCATATTTGGACTTGGGTCCCTTCACCAAGCTCTCTCATTATGTATATGCAAATATTCTGAAATGCAAGAAATCCGAAATCAGAAACACTTCTGGTCCCAAGCATTTTGGATAAAGGATACTCAACCTGTGCCATGCAAATACCTTTAATTATGGAGATAATGCTCATTGCTTGAAAAGACTGTCCCTGGACAGCTTCAGGGAAGTTCTTCTTGAATTTATGTGCTTCTCTCCAGAGCAGGGCCTGGGCCAGAGCTCCAATCTAACTCCAGGTGTCAGGTTTGGAAGTTTCATGATCTTTTCCTACCCCTGCTTTTCTTTTCCCCATGGATTGACAAGTTGAGGTTTTTCCTTTCATAGAAGGGTGCCTAGCAGTCAGACCACCTCCGAGATGAGCACTCCCGCCAGATCCTATCAACAGCAGACAGTGTTTCGTGCCCAACAAGGAGTCATTTCAATTTTTCCTCCATTATTGTTCTGGACTCTCTCCTCGCCTGGCTGAGGGCTTTGCTGCTCAGTGGGTCAGATAAGCGAGCTGCAATATCCTGTGGTGGCCCTACCCTTGGAGATAAGAGCCTTTCTCTCTGTCAGCGGGAGGAAAATATCACTGTTGGGTAATGAAAGAAGTTTAAACAGATCAGCCTCAGAGGAGGGAACTAATAAAATTCCTAGCAAACAAAGCTCCTCTTTAACCTTTTGTTTCCTTTTATCAACAAATGAAACTTGCTGTAATTTCCTGT